TGGTGGGTCATAGAGCCTGAACTCTGGGCCTGGGCACTGTCCCTCAGCTCTTCAGCTCAAGGCTAGTACTCTACAGCTTGAGCCACAGCGCTATATCCAGGTTTTTCTGTTTATGTGGTGCTGAGGAATAGAACCCAGGGCTTCATGCATGCAAGGCAAGCGCCCTACCACTGAGCCACCTTCCCAGCCCAGATCTCAGCCTTTTGAAGTAGTAGCATTACAGGTGTAAGCCACAGTGGCCAACACTGGATACAAACGTGTTTACAGTCCAAAGAAAATAATTTATTCCTTCAACTCCTCTGGAGAATTCTCCCCACCCCCTCACATACAAACACACACACACACACACACACACACACACACACACACACATGCTTGTGATACTCACTTATTAATAGGAAAATGACACCACAATAATTAAAGTTCAATACTCAGACACTGTTGATATATTTCCCTTGAGTATCTCTTCAGGAAGAAAAGGAGGATTTACCATATCATCTCATTGAAAATTTAAAAAAAGTACACACAGGAATTAAAACCACAAAACTGAACACCTAAAGTCTTTAGCAATAATTTAACTAAAATGAAATTAAGCCAGACACTGGTGGCTTATGCCTGTGATCCTAGCTACTCAGGAGGCTGAGCTATAAGGATCATGGTTTGAAGCCAGCTCAGGCAGAAAAGTCCACAAGTGTCTTATCTCCAGTTAACCACAAGAAAACTGGAAAAATCCATGGGACTCTTATCTCCAATTAACCACTAGTAGCCGGGCACCAGTAGCTCACGCCTGTAATCCTAGCTACTCTGGAGGCTGAGATCTGAGGATCACAGTTCAAAGCCAGCCCAGGCAGGAAAGGCTGTGAGACTTAACTCCAATAAGGCACTAGAAAACTGGAAGTGGCACTGTGGCTCAAGTGGTAGAGCGCTCGCCTTGAGCTGAAGAGCACAGGGACAGTGCCTAAGCCCAGAGTTCAAGCCCTATGGCTGACCAAAAAACAAAACAAAACAAAAAAACGGAAGTGGCGCTGTGGAGCTCAAGTGGTAGAGCGCTCACCTTGAAGTGAACAGCACCCAGGGCCAGAGTTCAAGCCCCATGACCAAAAAACCAAGGAAGAAGAAAAAAAGAAAACCAATAAGTATATCTAACTACTCAAAGTTACCACTGTCATCTAAAAAAATTAATATTCCTTTCCTTTTGTCAAAGGGGTTAAAAACTCCAAACAAAACACAGGGGTTAGCTGTTGGGACCCCATCTTTTTTTTTTTTTTTGGTCAGTTGTGGGGCCTGAACTCTGGGCCTGGGCGCTGTCCCTCAGCTCTTCAGCTCAAGGTGAGCACTCTACCACTTGAGCCTCAGCCCCACTTCCAGCTTTTTCTGCTTATGTGGTACTGAGGAATCGAACCCAGGGCTTCATGCATGCAAGGCAAGCGCTCTACCACTGAGCCACCTTCCCAGCCCTGGGACCCCATCTTAATGTTAGGACCCAGTGAGCCTAGATGACTCCACCCTGATTAAACATCCATCTTGTTGTTTACAAGTCTAGGAAAAACGTGGATTGCAAGTCTCTGATAACAGAGCCTATAGGTCAGGTGGACATGTCCAATTAGTAACAGCAGATATGTAACACACACACACATACCAAGGGATATAACCACTCCCCGCCCGCCCGCTTCTGCCAAACATGCATGCCAAAACTGACCAAAGTGGTAGGCTAGTTTAAACAACTGCTTAGAGATAAGTTGTAACCTCATTGGTCACCTGCGTGTGGCCCAACATAACTGCGCAATTTTGTGCAAGTGTTGCAATGCTATTGGCCACCTGTGTGTGGCCAGCCTAACTGCATGGCCTGTTCCCTATAAAAGTTATTAGCCCATGCAGCTTGGTGGGTGTGCCAAGGTGAGGCAGCCCTGACTGGTCAGTCTGTTCCTAGATGCTTGGCACAAAATACAGCTTTGTCTGACTTTCGCTTTGTTTCAGTCTTGTTCCTTTGATCACGGACCCCAATATTGGGGGGCCACCCCAATATCACCAGTGGCTCACACCTGAAATCCTCGCTACTCTGGAGGCTGAGATCTGAGGATCACAATTCAAAGCCAACCTGGACAGGGCAAGAAAGTCTGTGAGACTCATATCTTCAATTAAGCAGAAAATGGGCAGTGGCGCTGTGGCTCAAAGTAGCAGAGTTCTAGCCTTGAACAAAAAAAGCTCAGGGATGGCACCCAATCCCTGAGTACAAGCCCCACAACCACAAAAAAAACAACAAAACTTGTACAAGCATGTATGATGGTACATACCTGGAATCCTAGCACTAGGAAGGTAGAAGTAGGCTGATAACAGCTTGAAGCCAGCTTGTGCTATATAGTAAGAATCTCAAACCATAACAATTTATTTTGTACATATTAAACGGTGGCATGAATCATACAATCAAAAGATATAAACAATCTAAATGTCTATCAGCTGATGAGTCACTAAGTAAATTCATGCAGTACATTTCTTGAAAGGGTAGATTAATAAGGACCCACAGGCCCTGGACAGCATCTTGACCTAGTAAGTGGAAACCAAATGTAAAAGAGCTAATACTGATTCAAATGAGGTTCCAAGCAGGAAATTCAAGACATCCTGCCTCCACCCCCTTTTTAGCTTCTTTGAATTGTTGAGGTTCCAAAAGCTTTCTCATAATAGTTTTGTTTTTGTTTTTTTTTGGGGGGTCCGGTCATGGGGCCTGAACTCTGGGCTTGAGCACTGTCCCTCAGCTCTTCAGCTCAAGACTAGCGCTCTACCACTTGAGCCACAGCGCCACTTCTGGCTTTTTTCTTTTTGCTTATGTGGTGCTG